ACAGTTGAAGCATGTTACGTAATTTGTAAATTAGACTGAATTGATAGATTTTGTTTCCTTATACATCCATGCGTTAAATATTAATATTAAATTATTTATACTGTTTAATTAACTACTAAATCACTACCCAATGCCAATTTAAGAGAATATTTAGTTGATAATTTATGATCAAGATGATGTGTTTGAATGTTTGAAATGTAGGCATTAGTGGTCTATCTTATAAAACTAATCGATTTTTTATTAAATTGAAAGCTTTTTAAGGTAAACCAGTTTGTTGGTGGCCATAATGGCCTGTATATCTAGTTAGTAGTAGTATTTATTTTCTATTTCTATATTTAGTTTATTTATTATTTCTCACTAGTTCACGTAGTTTCTTATGCATGACACTTTTTTTATTATTGCATGTTTAGTTGAAAAATCTCCAGTAGAACAGTTCCTAAGAGCTGAAAGAGTTTCAGTCAACAGTTATAAGAGTAAGTTTCACTTTTTATCATTTGGGTGTATTTTAGTGGCTTTGGTGAATGAATATTATCTAATTTATGTGTTTCGGTTAGTTTTTTGCTTATTTTTTTAGAAGTGCGAATTGGTGTTGATGTGAGTTTTTGTGTCGCTTTTATCTTTCGTTTAAAGATTTAGTGGGCAATTCCTTCGTAAATGCTATCATCATCATATCGGTGGCTTAAAGTATGTTCTCACAAGTGCGTAGAGTTAGATTTGTAAATGCTTATCTTCCATAAGTTGAACTATAGATTGTTTCCATTAAAATGTGTGTTTAGAAGCTCTCGGGATACCTACTAGCTCATGCCCTTTTGAGAATGAAATAATTTAATTTTTTTGTCATCATCAATTTGGTCATTGCTTTTCGAAATACATATATGTGCTTATAGGTTATTTAATTTGGAAAACTGCTGCCTAAAATTAAATGCTTAAAAATGTTAATACTTTTCAGGTTCTGAAGTACTAACAATCAATGCGCGTAATCCACAACAAACAAAAAGCAATTATCGCACAAACAGTCACGCTGGCTTTCCTAAGGGTACTTACTTAGCCCCGAATCCTGTGCACTTTCATTTAGTTCGCATATCAAATCAATGCTGTAAAATGCTACCTGCTATCAAAACCATGACCAAACGTGCTAGTAACGATGCACAATTTACCTTCCGAAATTACGTTGCAAGAGAACCATATGTTAATGAACGAAGTGTTGTGTCTCTCGCCCTTAAAGAAGCCCATTCAGTTGCTGTAGACATTTCTTTGGATACTTTAAAGGCATTCATTGCTCCGTTTGCTAAAGCGCTTCATTTTGGGGAAATCCCAATTTTAAACAACCAAACTAGTCAAACGTCTTATATGAATAACTTTAAAGTAGGTCATCGACTCAACGTTGAATATACACCGTTACAGGTCGACCACCAGTCGGATACTTTACATTTGGAGACAAATTCGGATTTATTTGAAAGGCAAATTTTGAAAGACTTACAGAATAACTTAGTTTCACAACTAAGTTATAGTAATGAGATTCGTGAACTAGAGAACAGCAATTTATGCGAAACTAAGGAATTTGACGAGGAGGACCAAATGGGAGCTTGTGAAGGTCTAGCGGAAATGTTAGTTGATTTACCTCCTGAGGGCAAGAGCCCTGAATTTTTGGAGGATAAGGCACAATTGCATAGTGAAACTGCATTTTCATCAAATCAAGCGATTGATGTAGAGGACGATCTTAAAAATGAAGACCCAGTGCCGCTAAGTGGACATCCTAATTTAAAAACTGGCGCAGAACACGCAGAAGGTTCTGTTGAGGATGAGGTGGTTGAAGTGACTGGAGCTCATTTACAGTTAAAAGATCCACAGCAACGAGTTTGTGAAGATGACACCGCACAGTCGTCGGAAACTGAAAGCGAACCAGATTCCCGTAAATGCAGAACATTTGCTGTGAATCAATGTGCAATAAGCGACAGCATTCCGGCAGAAAATATAAGCGACGAGCAAAAGTCTTCGGAAGTATCTTCAAGTATTTTCGATAGCGGATCTTTCGGAAGCACATTTGCCATAGACGATCCTCAGTTAAGTGAAAAGGATCAACAATGCTCTGAGTTCATTTCTTACGACGACCGGATTGAAAATGAGGATAAATTGACTTTTGCCTTGGAAGCGCCGTCTAGAACCGAAATTTTAAATGACGTTCCGGAAACAGGAAGCGATTTAGTTGAAAATGATCTGGAATGCCCACAAAATGCAACTAATGAACCGTCAGAAGAGCAATTATTTCAAACTGCTAATTCAACGTTTTTAACTAATTTCAAAGAAGATGAAACAACTCAATTAATGAATGAGTTCCTTAACGTCCAAATAGATGAAGGTGATGGAGGATATAAACTGGAACATAATGACTATGAAGTTGTTAAGGACCACACTAGCTTAGTTGCTGAAAGTGTCAAGTCTTTGGCTCAAAATGTGAAAGCGTGTGATAAACCCAATGTAGAAGATGGTGATGAGGCTTTGACGGCTAAGGAACTAAACCAGATATTAAATCGCAGACTTCAAGATCTTCATAACCCAACAGTTACTGATGAGCGTGTAGAAGATTCACCCATAACAATGAATGGATCAGTTCAATATGACGATGCTCGAATTCGACGACTGGCCTCGTTGATCATTGATCATGTGCTAGACCAAGGCTTTGAGAATAGCGATTTGGTGGTTTTTCCTGAACTTGTCCGCGATCCTTACGTTGCTAAACTAGTCACTAAATTGAAAATGCTGCACACCGAACTGTT